AGCCAGATGAATAAGGGAACACCAAGCAGTCGTAAACCTGTGAAATAATTCCATTTATATTTGCGTCAACTGGTATTGCAACAGTACTTACGTGTGGAGCAGCAGAAGAAACATACGATGCAGTGGTCCTACAGAAAGAGAAGCGGAAGACACGCAGTGGCGATGTGAGAGTCACACGGCCACGAAAAGTTGGTCCACTCTCCGCAGCTGGCACCAAGATGTACACAGGCAGCGAACCAAAGCAAGAGAAAACCTGTGAAAAAAATTCATTATAGCTGCTTAATTAAATTTTGCAAAAGTACTTACGAGTGCAGCGGTGGTTTTGCAGTAATTCAAAAAATGCTGTTAAGAGGCAGCCGATCAAGTTGGTGGAATGCACGGGCACACAAAACAGCAAAACACCTTTGGAATAGTTTTATTTATAGTTTCCTTATCGGATATACATAAAATACTTACGATTTGAGGAATTCTTTTCCCAAAAAAAAAAAAAACGTTAAATGCGGAAATTTTTTTTTATCTAACAAAAATTAATTTTAACTCCGATTGTCAACGAAACAGGGATAAAAAGAAAGACGAAAAAGTTGATCAGTGATGCCAATGCATGTCGATCTATGCTTTTGCTTGTGTGAGTACCATTTTTAGTACTTTTTCATGAAAATCGCTCTGATATAAAAGTACTTTGTCAAAGCGGCAAATTGAAATTTCTAAGGGAGTTCAAGATGGCGATTAGAGCGAGAAAAACGCGAACGTATAACACCTTCTTTATTGCATCATGATAACAACTAGATATTTGCTGCAAACAATATCAATGTTCACACTGACATTTATCCTATTGCCTTTTATTTTCCAAAAAAGATCACGCCACTCGCGATGATTAGGCAAAAAAAAAGAAAGAAAAGAAAATGATTTTTGCAAACGGGAGCTTAGCGGTTCTTGGCGGCCAAGGATTCTTTTTTTTTGGTTTTAGATCTCAACGAGTCAACATCTTCGGAAAAGAAAACTTTAAAGACTTAACGAAAAAACGCAGCTATACAGCTGTACACACAAAGACATGTTGAAGTCAAACAATTTTGAAAATTTCATGATAAAAAAAAAATTATAATAATTTAATCATTAAAAAAAAAACTAAACATTAAATTAAAATAACGTAAAGACCCAACCTTGGATCTATGAAAAATCCAAAATTTTGCATACACCCTTTGGGAACGTTTTGCGATGGATCTGGCAGTTTTCCTGGGCTTTTTTTTTAGACTAGTTTCACTTTGGATGCAGAATATTCCAGTGGCCATGCGGACCAGCGTGTAGGACGGGTGTTTGAAAAGCGAAACGCAGTCTTTGAGCTACCCTCGTTGTGGAAAAATTATTTTTAAGGTGGTACATATTCATAGATTCGCAAAATTTCGGCGAATTTTCTAAAAACTAACTGAATCTTTAATTAAAGAAAGAAATGCGAAACCTTGTTATACTTTAATTAAGATTGAAAACATGTGAAAACGAAGTGTTACATATACATACATAAATAGGTATATTAACAAATGAATTTTAGTGTCTAATATACAAGTACAGCCACTGCAGTGAAAAGTGAAGAATTTACGATTAAAAGCCTACGTGCACTTGAAAGTTGTAATACTAACTGAATTCAAGAAACTAAAAGAAGTCAGAAAAATAATGTAAAATAGGATGTGGAAAGAAAGGAGCCCTATAACTTTCTACTTTAATTTAAACGATTTTAAATATTTAGCGATGTAAATTTAGTTATACAAGCATCTATTAAGTGTACACTGAAACTTTGCATGATTATTGATCATTCTACACGCGAGACTTCATACGGGTGAAGGTGTAAAGAAAAAATCGCATGCGAGTTTACGAATGCCTTGAAAATCGCATACGTTCGGTTACATTTTCACCTCACCGGCGTGGCCAAAGAGAAATGCCAGCTCAAAAAGTTTATAATGCAAGAGCAATTGAGCTTACCTTAATACATAAAGTCAAACGGAAAACAGTAATAACTAACAGTAAGTACATATCTGTGTTTTGCTTTACGTCCCACATTTAGTTCCAGGCACTCCGCTGAAAGATCTTTCGTCGTTGGAGCCAAAACGGTAAGCTTTACTTTTGTTGTGTCTTGCCCATGCTTTAACTATTTGCCATTGCGACGAGAGGACGTTCCATTCTTCTCACATAATCAAGATCAATGTTGCCATATTCGCAAAAAATAAAATATATACAGGGTGTCCCAGAAGTAACGTGCCAAACTTTAGGGCAAGGTAGGTGGGGGGGGTGAGCTCACTGATAAACAAAAAATTTTCAGGTAAAAGTGTCACCGTTTTTGAAATATTTACATTTTTTCGAATTTAAAAAAAATCGTACCTTTTCATGTGTTTTCTTTAACTGCAACTACAAACCGGGCAATACTTAGTAAATTTTTTATGTAAAATACTTCCAGATAGTTGCCTCTCCATACTCAAATGCAATGTAGTTAAAATAAATTAAGGAACCATCATAAAATTAGGACTAT